TCTAAATTCTATTGGTACCACATAAAATGGATTATATGATAAACATATATTGTTTGAAATTGACGAAAAAAGAAAAAAATAAATTACAATAATTAATAAAAAAAATAGTCGACGAAATTGACGAATTTTTTTTTATAAATTACAATAATTAACAAAATAAATCTCTCGACTCCAACAAATCTATCAATTAATGCCACATAAATTGGGACATGGCAAATAACATATATTATTTAAAAAATTAGGTTCAAAATGTACTATAAAATACAATAATTAACAACTTAATATATTAAAGAGATATATAAAAAAAGGTTAATATTTGAAATTCTGCATCTGCCACATAAATTAGAACAAATAGAGTAATAAATATTATTTTCAAAATTATGTTAAAAAAAAGTACTACAAATCACAATAGCTAACAATTTAAAATATTTTTAAAATCATATAAAAATTTCAATAACTTCTCAAATTCCATAATATGACATAAATTTAAAAAAAAGTGTTATAAATCATAATAAATAGTACAATATTTAAACTACTTTAAAAGCATTATAAATTGTAATAAATAATACAACAATTTAAATTACTGAAAATTTAACGACTTAAATTTTTTTTAAAAATGTATTAAAATTTTGGTTAATTGTCAAAACTTTACATGTGCCACATAAATTGGGACATGGAGAGTCACACATATTTTTTTAAAAAAATTACATTAAAACTATTCTATCAATTAACAACATATATTGTTTGAAATTGACGAAAAAGAAACTATAAATTACAATAATTAACAAAATAAATCTCTGGACTCCAACAAATCTATCAATTAATGCCACATAAATTGGGACATGGCAAATAACATATATTATTAAAAATTTAGGTTCAAAATTTACTATAAAATACAATAATTAAGAACTTAATATATTAAAGAGACATATAAAAAATGGTTAATATTTGAAATTCTGCTTGTGCCACATAAATTAGAACAAACAGAGTAATAAATATTATTTTCAAAATTATGTAAAAAAAAAAGTACTACAAATCACAATAGCTAAAAATTTAAAATATTTTAAAATCATATAAAAATTTCAATAACTTCTCAAATTCCATAATATAACACCTAAATACTACATATTATATATTAATTACTATACTATAAATGACTTAAATACTCCATATTATCTATTACAATAATTAACAATTATTTGACACTTTAAATCCTATCAATGCCATATAAATTAGGATAAAAAACCTAACATATAATATTTAAATATATTTAAAAATAATATAAGTAATACTATACATTACAATAATTAACAGCTTAATTATTTAAAACTTATATAAAAAATTTAATTGACTCTCTAAATTCTATTGGTACCACATAAAATGGATTATATGATAAACATATATTGTTTGAAATTGACGAAAAAGAAACAATAAATTACAATAATTAATAAAAAAAATAGTCGACGAAATTGACGAAAAACAAATTATAAATTACAATAATTAACAAAATAAATCTCTGGACTCCAACAAATCTATCAATTAATGCCACATAAATTGGGACATGGCAAATAACATATATTATTAAAAAAATTAGGTTCAAAATGTACTATAAAATACAATAATTAACAACTTAATATATTAAAGAGACATATAAAAAATGGTTAATATTTGAAATTTTGCGTGTGCCACATAAATTAGAATAAACAGAGTAATAAATATTATTTTCAAAATTATGTTAAAAAAAGTACTATAAATCACAATAGCTAAAAATTTAAAATATTTTTAAAATCATATAAAAATTTCAATAACTTCTCAAATTTCATAATATGACATAAATTAAAATAAAAAAATAATATATATTGGGTTCCGTGCTGGCACGGGGTCCTATATCTAGTATGAGGAGAAATGTTTAAAAATGGGACTTATTGACACCCAATTTTGACTCTCCAAAATTTGATTAATTTTCAAGCTTTTTAAATTTCAAACAATTTAAAATAATTGTTTTCGAATATCAAATAATACTTTTAAAATTATTTTCAAGGCAATTTTGCCATTTTTCCTATAAAATATATAGATTTATATTTTGAAAAAAAAAAGCTATCTCAAAAAATAGCTCTTGAGTTAAATATATATTTTCTTGTTCTTAAATTAGTTAAGTTAAATAATTAGTATTATAATGAGTTGTGAGTAATTTCCCTAAATAGTCACCCAAGTTTGGGAAATTACCTTGAAATATCACTTATGTTTGTTTTAGGACCACAATATCATCCAACTTTATCTCTTTTCCTCAAAATATACTTAAACCAAAAAAATTTATCTCTCTCCTAATAAGATGCCATGTCACATTATTCCTTTTTCATTATTAACATTTTTTTAAAAAAAATTTAGACAACCCATATTACCTAGTAAAAAAAAATTACATAGCCCAAAAATTTCTATCTTAGTTCTAGGGGATTAGGCGGCAAATCCAAATATGAGCTCCTCAGATTCTTCAAGAAAATATGTGGCTTCCTCCGATTTTTCAAGCGAGATAATGTCTTTATATGGACACTAATGGGCAATGACACCTTTTTGTTGAGTCCGGAGCCAAAAGTGTAACTTTTTTTCTTTAAAAAACAAAAACGGCACATCAAAAAAAAAAATTTAACCAAAAGGGAAAAATCGCTCCTGACGGAGCGATTTTGTTTTGACAAAAATTGACGCCACTCCGCTAAAAGAAATAAAAATCTCTGCCGATTTTCTCAAAAAAATATTTTTTCTTTAAAATCGCTGCTATAACAACATTTTTATATTAAAAAAATTAAAAAAAAAATCGCTGCTATTGCAGCAATTTTGTTTAAGAAATTAAAAAAAAAAGTGCTGAATTGTTTAAGAAATTATTTTTTTAAAAAAAAAAAAATCCTACCCTTGCAGAGAATTTAATAAAAAAATTTTTAAAAAAAAAACTGAAGCCAACGATTTTCATAAAAAGCTTTTTTTAAAAAAAATCTTTACCCTTTTAGCAATTTAAATGAAAATTAAAAAAAAAAATTAAAACTGAAAATCGCTGCTTCGGCATCGATTTTTTCTTTTAAAAACTTATTATTTTTTTAAATGGCTGCCGCCAAAAATTTATGTAATTTAAAACTTGTTCTTTATGTTTTTTTTTAATTCCTTAACAAAAAATCACTACTATAGCAGCGATTTCACTTTTTTATTTTATTTATTTTTTGAGAAAATCGCTACCAAATACAGTGATTTTTATTTCTTTTAACGGACGGCGTCAATTTTTGTCAGAAGAAAATCGATCCGTCAGGAGGGATTTTGCCCTTTTGGTTAATTTTTTTTTTTGATGTGCCCTTTTTGTTTTTTGAAGGAAAAAAATGACCCTTTTAGCTTCGGACTCCCTTTTTGTTGATATTTTAATTCATTAGAGTAATAAGGTAACCATATTGTCAAACTACAAAGGATATAATGTTTTTAAAGAATTTTAAAAAATGTTAATAATAAAAAAGGAATTAAAAAAATGTTAATAATAAAAAAGGAATAATGTGACATGGCATCATATTAGGAGAGAAATAATATTTTTTTTGTATCAAGTATATTTTGAGGAAAAAAGGTAAAATTGGGTGATATTGTGATCCTAAAACAAACATAAGTGATATTTCTAGGTAATTTTCCAAACATGGGTGACTATCCAGGGAAATTACTCAATGAGTTGTTTATTTTGAATGTTAGATAATTATTATAATGTGTCTTCTTCTTCGCCAAGCGAATCCAGACACGAATGAACCCAAGAGCAACCCGAACCTAGTGACTTTGCAGCTGCGTCGTCCTCTCTATCCGTTACCCTCTCTGTACAAGAAGATTCTCGAATCTCACAGCTTCTTCGTACTACTCAAGAATCAAACGATCCTCCATTCAATTCCGTTCGAATTAGTACGATTCCAAAATTTTCAGGTTCCCACATGGATTTGGGCCACTATTTTTCTCATAATCTCAGGCCTATATAAACCCTACTCATTGACTTTGTTAAAGGGGAATTTTAGCCTAAAAAACGAAAGAAAAGGCTTCTGGACCTGATTTTTTCGAAACCAGGAAGCTAGTTGATTTTTTCATTCTAGTCGTTTCGGAGTTTTCCTCTCAGGTGAGGTGGAGTCGCTTTCTTTGCTTGTCGTCTTTTTCAGCTTGTAATATTTCTGTCTTAAATCTCTTTGCTAAAAAAGAAAAGAGACTGTGCAGCAGGGGTTTTCACACAGGAAATGCTATATTTGATGGGGATATAACATGAACATCCCGTAATTTAAGTATTGAGTTGATAAATTGTGGATACTTAAGATGGGTTATTAACTCTTGTATGTGTGCTGCCGAGTTTGTGGAGAAGCTAGGTTCATAGATTTTTTTTAAAATTAATAATCCATATAAGCTGAAGATGGAGAATATGGTGTATGCGGAGGAGCTTGTGAGGGAGTTTCTAGTATTCAGAGGCTTTACAAACACTCTGCAGGCTTTTGTCAAAGAGTTGGGAACTGATATTGGCAAAGGATTTCAAGTTGATAAGATATTAGATTTAATTTTCTCCATTTATATCCCCAAATTCCAAGCTGAAAACCTCATTCAACTCCTTCGCTTTTTCAACAACTGCTTTTCTTCTCACGAGACACATCTTATTTCTGTCATATCTGAGTTAGATATCTCTATTATACACTATTATATCATTCATGCCATACAAGCTGGCAGAAAGGATAAAGTCATAGAGTTGTTTGACATACATGGCACTGAATTGCTGCAAAAAGACCAACATTGGGCATCCTGGTTTGGTCGGTACTATCTATCTCTTTTATTTATCTATTCAAATTAAATGATGAAGCTTTCTTGACGTCTAATCATTTCATGCAGCAATTCCATATATTAAAGCTCCTCAATCCGAACCCCAGTTTCGGGTATACTTTTCAAAGGAGTGGTCCAATGCATTGCATCTATCTCTTAGAAATTTTCTCACCAAGATGTTTAATGGCACTCATATCCTTAACTATATATTCTCATGTTTTATTATTTCTAGTTATGGATTAAATATTCTTGCTTTCAATCATGCAAATTAATTTCAAGCAGTTTCCCTACAAGTGAGATTATTTATGCTTCTTTGGTGTTTAGAGGAGACCATCTTTTACATTTAGTTTCTGGTGCTTTACTGCCAGGCATATGGGGAAAACAAAGATGCTAAGGCCTTTACCAATTTTGTTGAGGGAATCAGTTTATAGTAAAAGAAGATAAATGTCTGTATGTCTCCTATGAAGATCAATTATATGTTTGAAGGTATTTAATGTTTTCTTGAAAAAATGTGCCCATTAATTAGATTGTAGTAAAAGCAAATACACATTGCATTTCACCATATGATAATAAGCTAAATGTAAATAATGAAAAAAGAATGAGATGTTTGAAATGAATTACTTGATTATTCCCTCAAGCATGTTGTGGTTCAAATATTGTTTACACCTAAAGAGGAACAAACTGTAATCCCAAAAAGGAAAGGAAAGTATTTCCTATTTGTAGTTGCACAATTATAAGAATTCTTAACCTTTTCCATTTTTACAAAGAATGGGCTCTTCTAAATGTTTTAACATTTTCTTAATTCTTAATACTCCCCCTCAAGTTGGGGCATACACATTATATGCTCTTGACTTGCCTCAAATATACTCAATTCTGGAGCAGTGGATTGACTTTGTAACTATATTTGCCAACTGGATCATTCAAGTTGATAAAACCTGTTGTAATGTACCCCAACTCTTTTGTCGGATGAAATGACAAAATGTTTCTATTTACTTCGTTCTCTCATGAAACACTAAGCTTAAAACATTGTGTATTGCAGCCTGATTGCCATAGATCAGTTGCATTAGTGCAAAATCCTTAAAAAAGTTGCTTTAGTCATATAAGGCTACATGTAGCCAACATCATTGCTTGATAATTTGCCTTTGCAATTGATCCAACTATTGTGTGTGTTTTGCTTTTCCAAGATGTCGATTTTCTCTAATTAAAACATAGTTTTCCTTTAGTAGATAATCTATCTTAAGAAGATCCTACTTAGTTTGCATTGGAGTTTCCAATGTATTTGTTATGCTCTTATCCTCATATAATATGCCTTGTCCAAGTTAACTTTGATATACCTAAGATTGTGAATTGAAGCATTTCATGACTGTCATAAGGAGCTTGGAGAAATTGGCTAATAACACTGATAAAAAATGAGATGTCTCGTCATGATTGTAATATAATTGAGCTTGTCAACTAATCTTTGATTATGATTAGGGTCCTCTAGGGCTCCCACTGGCTAGGATTCCATAGGAGCATCAATAGGTTTGCAATTTAATGTGCTAGTGTTTTCCATTATGTTCAAATCATACCTCTTAAAATGAAAATCCTAGTGTTGAATAATGCCAATGCTTAGGAAGTATCTTCATTTAATCAGATTTTTGGTTTGAGATTGGTTTCGAAGTGACTAATTAGATACTATTTAGGTTGAGTGATACCTTCATCATTGCCTTTATGACAATGTCATGAGCGTAAACAATCAAGAGTATGCTACTCTAATTTTTCCATTATGAGAATGTTTATAGAACATAGAGTGGTCAACTTTACTTTGAAGCATGCCAAACTCTTGATCATTAGTGCTAAACAACCACAAATGACTAAACCTTAAATTTTTGTGGAATCCTTCGACGGACTTTTTTAGAAACCTTTGGTAAAATGCTCGCCCATAACCCAACATATAAAGTACCTTACATAGTCCAAGGATTGATGACTTGCCCACTCAGTGACTTTGGCACTCAACTTTCTCACAAAAAGGGCCCTTAACCAAAGTAAAAGATTACTTTGTTCTGAATGCAATTTGAACTATTGATTTACGTTATTGGAAATTACTATTAGGTTTATGATGAATCCATTGCTCAAGACTATACAAAGATTAATGTAATTGACACACAAACTCAAACTTCTTGTGAGCAAAAAACTTTGAGGTTGCTACATGTTGACATCCTCAACAAGGCCGCCGTGAAACTAATAAAGGAGCTAAAGAGACATGATTACGATGGAAATAAGTAGACAAATATATACAATCTTCATTATCGTAGAAATAATGTCACTATAATCAAGGCTGTTAATTTGAGTAGATCCGTTTCTACCCATCTAGCTTTGAAACCATCAACCTTTGATATAAATTTCAACAACATCTAACGACTGCTTCGTGCAGTGGTAAAAGAACTATTCCCAAGTACCATTATCTTTAAGACTATCATTACATTGATCATAGCTTGACACCAACTTGGATGAGCCATCATGCCCTGCCATTGTCTTTGGTATTTTGATAGTATATAAATTGATAATAAAGGCATGGTATGAAGGCAACAAAGTGTAATAACACAGGAAATTATAAACAAGATAAATATTGTGAGTAGTCTAAATGTTTTTTCTAAGAGCAATAAGAAGATCTATTTTATTTGATGAGTGCTCAACCCAAGTAGGGGGTGTTGTTGAAGTATGAGTCACTCGTCAAACATTGTTTGCATGTATCATGAATAGTAACACCAACTAGATTGGCTAGTGGAGGGTTTGGTCGAGGTCGTCTAGAGTAGACTTGAAGAGGAAGAGGGGATGAGCTGTAATGGGAAGAGTTGGTGCAGAAAGAACCATGGAGATGACATTTTGATTTAGCTAATTTGATGGACGATGATGTTACACATTGTATTGGAGTGAGGTGGATGAAATGGAGGCTTACATCCGGTGTCTATTGTGATAAGAATGTACCACCAAGACGTAAAGGTAAGGTTTATAAAGTGGTTAGACTAGCTATGTGGTATAGTGTTGGTCGGTCAAGAACTCAAACTTCCCAACGATGGAAAGTAGAAGAAACAAAAATGTTGAGATAGATGTGTGGGCATACTAGGAGAGATATTCGCCACAAGGTGAGAGTGGCTGCTATGGTTGACAACATGAAAGAAGCAAGAGTAAGATGGTTCAGGCATGTAAAGAGATGCATAAATGCCCTAGTAAAGAGATGTGAGAGGTTGACCATGGTGGGTTTGTGAAGAGGTAGAGGTAGGTTGAAGAAGCATTGAAAGAGGTGATTAAACAAGAAACGACATACATGCAACTTACTGAGGACATGGCCCTAGATAAATGGATATGGAGGTCGAGGATCATGGTAGAAGGTTAGTAAAGAGTTGAACATTGTCTAGTTTTCCTTAAGTACTATTATTATTATTATTACTATCCTATTATTTTATTCTTTAGTTTTTCTTTATTTATTGTTTCCTTTGCTTTGTTATCATATTATTTGTTGTTACTACTATCTCTGATAAGATTTCAAATGAGGACATCTGGGTCAAGGTGGAGCGGCTTCGGTGGAGGACAAAATGTAGAAACGAGACTGAAATGGTTTAGGCATGTAAAAAGAAGATGTACAGATGTCCTAGTGTGGAGTTGTGAGACAATGCTTATGGATGGTTTTATGAGAGGTAGAGATAGACCAAAGACAGCTTGGGAGAGGTTATTAGACAAGATATGATGCCGCTTCAGCTTACTAAGGACATGGCCTTAGGTAAGAGGTTGTGGAGGACACGAATTGGGGTAGAGGGCTAGTACGTAGTAGTGCGTTGTCTTGTTATCTGTCCATACTAGTAGTTGTAGTATTGCTCTTGTAGTTTTTAGTCCTTTGATTTCTGTTATTATTTGTTATCTTGTCCTTTGACTATCATATTATGTTGTTGTAGTTATTGTCCTGTTACTATCTGCTATTTCTTGAACTTTTGTTGTTTTGTTTTTTGGACTGCTTTAGACTTTTTTTTTGAGTAGAGGGTCTATTGGGAACAATCTCTCTACCTGAGTAGAGGTAAGGTCTGCGTACCCTCTACCCTTCCCAAACCTCACTTTGTGGGATTATACTGGGTATGTTGTTGTTGCTACTTTCATCATGGCTTTTTCACTATAGTATTTGTGAGAAATATAGGAAAAAAATATTATTTAATTTTGTATCTACATTATTACATAGAGACCCTATTTATAAACACTACAATACAATCCTTTACTAAGTAGGATATTCATTACTATTCTTATTCCTATTCCTATTCCATTCCTATGCCTATTCCTATTCTAAATACGATTGTATATATCTATTCCAATTTTAACACTCCCCCTTAAGCTGGTGCATACAAGTCACATGTACCCAGCTTGTTACAAATGTAATTAATACAAGGACTGATGAGGAGCTTGGTGGTATATCTGCAGGTTGATCACCCGACTTCACAAAATTGACCGTCAATTTCAATGTGCTTCTTCTCATGAAATACTAGATTTGATGCATAATGTTAGTGAATCTCAATGTGCTTGGCCTTCTCATGAAATAAATTCTAGATTAGATGTAGTTCCTCAAAATAAATAAATTAGATTTGATGTATAATGTCGATAAAATACAGAGTGATAAGTTCGTTGAGAAAATTGTTTCGGACCATAAAGTGACTTACACAATCGACATATAAGTGCAGTAGACTCTCCCTGAGCAACAAAATCAGGTGCTTGCTCCATATAAACTTCTTCATTGAGATCACCATGGAGAAAAACGTTCTTAGCGTTCAACTGATTAGAATGTCACAATCTGTGAAATAAAATTATATGGGTGCAGACGGAATGATGGCACAACCCTTCTGAGAAAGAGAATTATATGAGTAGGGTCAGATTAATGGCATGACTCTTTTGAAAAGGAGAAATTATATGGGTAGAGTCGGAATGATGCACAACCCTATGTAAATCAGATTTGAGGAGTCATCGGAAAGCTTTCCGAATGGAACTACCCAAACAAATATGAGGAGTCATCGAAAAGACACACGGTGCTATGCAACTCAAATATTAGAAAGCAGTTCAAAAAAATCCACGATACTACACAAATTAAATATGAAAAGTAGTCTGCAGAGATGCACGGTGCTATGCAAATCAGATCTAAATAAAAGTAGTCACAGGATAGATGGCACAGTGC